CGAAAACATTTGAATAAATATTCTTCGATAGAAGCATTGTCCACATTCCATTTGCTGACAAATTTCTGCACAGTAAATAAAATAAATGGGAAACCTAGCTTAAAAACAACTGTTCTGTACCGTTATGAACGGTTTCGAAACGTAAATTTTCGAGGAATTATCGGCTGGCTTAAAAAAAAAATTCTATTTGCTCAAGTAAACCATACTTGGTTCATAGTAAAGTTCGTCATATAAATTTTAAATTCGATAAAATTCGACAAAAACGCGCACAGAGAAAACTGTGTTGATTTTTACGTAGCAAAATGATTGAAACTGCCAAATTCCAACAAATGAATTGAGTTTTTCGCAACAAATGTTTTTTTCCATATTGACTCAAGTATTTGTCAAATTAGACACCAGCTCCCTTACATCGTATCTAATAAGAATTGGCACCTAATTTGAAAATTAGACACGATCTAAGGGAGCTGGTGTCTAATTTGACAAATACTTGAGTCAATATGGAAAAAACGTTTGTTGCGAAAAACTGAATATGTGTTGGAATTTGACACTTTTAAACATTTTGCTACGTAAAAATCAACACAGTTTTCTCTGTGTGTGGAAAGCTTGATATTCATTTCAATTAAGATCATTCAACATAACTTTCGTACAATTTTAGCATAGTATCCCAATTTCAAAGTGTTTCATATTTCATCGTTGTTACCTTTTCTTTCGTTTTCGAGATCGTAACAATCATTAAGAGGATGTTGAATATGGTATTCAAAAGACTTTGAACATTTGGTTGAACCAAATTTGCAATTCACATGGAACAAGTTGTCCATATTTAAATTCAATGTTTAGAAATATACGTATTAGCCATCGTCGATGACTCATCGAATGGCTGTTCATCATTTGTTCGTTTATGTTAAGTGCATCAATATGAAAAAAAATTCGGGATAAAATTCCAATTTTATCAGTTGTTGATGCATTCGATGACACATAAAAGAAGAATGAGAGAATCAATTGAATGAAACATTTCAACGATTTTAGGTGTGTAACAGAAATGAAATCAACTGTCTACAATGGTTTATTCAGAGAAAAATGTATCGTGAACAAAGGTAATCTGATAGAATGATCATAACATTCAATTCATTGATCCAATTGTCATCGTTTGCTTGTGCAGCTGGGTTTTTTCTGTCGTGGAAAAAAATAAAAAATTTAAGATTTTTAGAAAGAAAAAAGAGATTTTTCACACGAATTTTACGACTTGCGTATATGTAAGTATTTATCATACATGGAAAATCAGTTTTTAACTGATAAAGTTTGAAATAAACACATGCAACTTTCACTTTAAAAATTCATGAAAACGAATTGTTTTCTAATGTCAAAGAAAAGCAACATTTAAAGCAATGTTTATTATGTGAAGCCGTAGCTCACGTGAGTTCGCTTGAAACTTTACATGGAACTTAAGTTCGGTGAATTTCGATATCAAATCGAAAGCTTACCCTCTAATCAGTATTCAAGCCCAGGGAACGGCCAGGTCAACTCTGTGTCAAAATGAAATAATTTACTTGTATTCTCTTCGCAGATCTCTCAAATCTTGTTATACTTACAGGTCCAAGGTTGCCATTTGAGGAGTTTTATTACTGTAAGAAGAATATTAAAAATTAGATGATTTAATAATAATTTGGGAAAAAATGTTTTGTCTTTGAATTACTTACGCTAATTTAACAGTTGATCGAGAAACGGTATGACTACAGGAACATTGAAAATTAGTCAAATAATCATTCTGGGAAAATCAGGGTAATATATTCGATTCAAATAACTTACTCCACTTTATTGCCGTGACCCTTGCCAATCATTTCCTGAACGATATTTAAAAAGAATTTATCATCGAATATTTCTCGACAATTTGTTGCATAAAGCTACTACAATTGATGACCCGTGTGCAAATATTGTAACTGAGCAGTCAGTTAACTAATTTCGGACAAAAATGACTTACTTTGATTGACATTTCAGTACAAAGGGAATATCACGCTCCTAAATCTTATGAGATATTTGAGATATTTGAAATAAACATCAATTGTATGACATATTTTCGAATATTTCGAATAAATGAATCAGATTTTTGTGGATTTTGGAGATATTTGAGATTTTTTGCAATAAATCCGAATAAATACATTTAAATATCATTCATAATCACAAAAATCCCCAATATTCCGTCGTATTCAGAAATATCCACCATATTTCATACGACAGATTCTTAGAGATAAATTGGATTTTTTTGAAATATTTGAAATAATTCAAGCGTGATATTCCCCTAGAAGTGTAGTGTAAGTCTATCATAGTTAACTGAAATTATTTGAAGTTACAAGTCAATCTAAGTTGCTTAATTTGGGACAAAGTGATTTTCTTAGAACAAAAACATAAATTCAATCAACTAAAGTCAACTGAAGTTATAGTCAATCAGTCATTTATTTTTTTCACACGGGCAGACTCACATTTCGTATATATTTGAATGGTTTTTTTTTTCTCTCACAAGAATATACTTTCAAGTGTGTGCAATCGCGTGCCTCAATAGATTTTTAACTTATTTTTTACCGTTTTCTACTGAATATTGAACGTTTCCCATATTCTACAGAAAATTGATTGGAATTCAACCGATTTCTCCGACACGTTTTAAATATTTAATAGGAAAATGAATTGGTATGAAAGGGCGATATGAAATTTCACATGAAAATGGAAATAAAAAGAAAATGATTTAACGACAACATGTTTCCTTGCAATCAAAACTTACCTTCACTCTATTTAAAACGTTCTTCGGTGGTTCACCACAGTTCGCATCTTGCAACAGCAATGCCTAGTAGAGAATAAATATATATTAATACTAACTAATTTTTAGATTGATAAAAAATATCAACGAAAATTCGTTCAAAATTGACACTTACAAGACAAACGATTAAAATAATTGCTATAGCTTTCATCTTGGACTTTTAATTCCGTATGAACTTACACTGATGGAATGAACCAATTTTATAAGACTCAAAAAACAAAATTTCGGCTCGACGACACATGTCCTACACGTCAATCAAATTCAAAGAAAACGAAATCATTTGAATAAATAATATTCGACCGGAGCATTGTTCACATTCCATTTGTTGACAAATTTCTGCGGAGCAAAAAAATATGTGAGAACCTAGTTTAAAATCAACTTTTCTGTACTAGTATGAAAACGGTTTCAAAACGTATATTTCCAAGGAATTGTCGGTTCGCCTGAAAAAAATGTATTGTTTCCTCAAACCATACTTGGTTCATGGTTAAGTGCGTCATATGAATTTTAAATTCGATAAAATTTTGCAAAAATTTACTTCGATAATAACATGGACATTTTGATATTGATTTCTATTGAGATCGTTCAACATTTTAACTCACGTACAATTTTGGGATCGTATTTTAATTTGAAAGCGTTTCATATTTCAATGCTGTTATCTTTTTCTTAATTTTCGGGATCGTAACAACCATTTAGAGAAGATCCGATTTTGGAATCGTGATATAACGCAGTCGTAGGATAATTTGAATTTGGTATTCAAATGAATTTAAACATTTGGTTGAGACAAATTTGCGATTCCAAGACAAAAAATAAATAATATTGTCATCGAATGTTTTTTCAGCAATTGTTTACTCATTTCAAGTGCGTCAATCTAATAATTTCCAGTTGTTGGCGTATTCGATAGAAGTCGAAAATTAAATAGCTCATTGTAGTTCTGTTCTATTGACGAAAGCATTCATGAAGAATGAATTCAATGTATAGCTCAGAGTCATTCTCTTACCCAGAGACTGCAAAACACATTTGGCACCTGAGTTGGGAAATTCTCCATAACAGCACTATATAGATGGCCTTGCTTGTTGAAGTTTACTAACAGACAGATAACTTAGATTGAAACACACGAAATGAGCGTTTGAACGTGGTCTCTTAAATGATTGAAGCGCTTCTCATATGAAAACGGCCGCATTTGGAAATAAATCTGATAAATTTTGCCTTGATGGTGAATCTCCATTGGTGGTTATAAAAATCACTTTAGTGAAAAACCATCACTTGACCATGACCATACTATAAAATTGAGAGCTATGTATGAATTGTTTGGTTTACGGTAAATGTTGCTTGATGTTTCGAGATAATGAAACTCAATTTTTGACTCAGCAACCTGTTATTCAATTTGGTGGTGATTTCATTGCAAGAGCAGCACAGGAGACTAATATTTATTACATGTCTATTGATTTATTTGTTGAAAGAGTATTCCGTAATGGCACAAAAATAAACCCATAATTTGTACAAAAATTGTTTTTACTATAAGAATCAACTCAACAACAGTGAAGCAAAAGTTAGCCATTACAACTTTTTGCGTGCTTGTTGAATCACCCTTTACTTGGACGTTTTCCCCTATAAATACCGTCGAATCCAGAAGGAACCGTACAGTTCAACATTCGCTTCTGAGTGGTGTAAACAAGCATTTCAACCGAAAAAGATGAAACTTCTATTCTTGGCACTTTTTGCATTGGTGTTGGCCGTTCAGGTAAATACACTTTTAACAACACTTTTTCGAAGATGCTAGAAAAAAAATTCTTTTCCCAATTGACTTATATCTTTTTCCTTTCATTTCACTAGTTCATCAATGGCAATAAAACTGGAGACAAAAACCAGATGAGTGTGCTGCAAAAAATTGGATTCGGACGGACGACAGAGCAGAAATTAGAGAAAGCGTCAATAAAAATGTATAACTTAGAGGCAGAAAGGCATACGGATATTGCAAGAATACAAAGTTCAGGCTAAAGGCTAATGCGAATTGAATTAAGACATTTGGTATAAATTTTAAAAGGCTATCATATGCCGCTTGAATCGCTACCATCGCCACAAACAAAACCGTTATGAGTCTGACTTTTTTTCAATGCAAAATAATCCGTAAACATCTTCTAATGAAAAAAAAGTTAGAATAAAGTTGTAAATTCCATTTCTGAACTCACAGTTTATTAAAAATATTTTATTTGCATCAGTAAACTTAGAAAAACAACAATTATTCCACTGCAAACGATTCCCATTTGAAGTTTGAAACTTCGAAACTAACAGCGACATCTAACGAAAATCCGTTACAACACTCCATTCGCCATATTGACAAGTGACAAGTGTGTTGTTGTTTCAAATTTCAAGTGGGAATCGTTTGCAGTGAAATAATTGTAGTTTTCCTAAGTTTTATTGATGCAAATGAAATATTTTTTATAAACTGTGTGTTGAGAAATTGAATTTACAACTTTTTTCTACATTTTTTTTATTATAAAATATTTTTGATTAATTTGTTTTGAAAAAAGTCAGATTCATAACGGTTTTGTTTGAAGCGCTGAAAGCACTGAGAACCTTTTTTTTGGTTCAATATCAACCGACTAAAACGATACCTAGCGGATATGCTAGCCCTTTAATTTTAATGATAAAATTTGCAATGGCCTTTGCCTATGTTTTTATATGGAGCACATGTTTATGCTATATTTAAGCGACATCTTGACGCTAAACGCTGAACTATGAAACTTCTATATAAATATACTGCCAACTATCAATGACAGCAACAATAGAACGTATTTGTATTGCAAAATATTTCCACCTTGCAGATGGCGCCAAACCAAACATCATTCTAGCCATTTTTCTCATTGCCTTTATAATTGCTATTGTTAAATCAATCAACTGATAAGAAAAAAGAAGCACTACAAAAGAAGATAGAGGATCTGAATAACACTAAAAAATAAAAAATACGAGCAAAGAAGTTGAAAACATGTGTTCCCTTGTGCATAAGGGAAAGATGTGTTATTGATGAAATCTCAAAATAAAAATCGCCTCATATTCATACAAAAATTTTGTTTTGCCTTGGAAATACTTTATAACTTGGAACACTTGGTCGATGCAATTTTGTAACAATTTACGATTCCTTCTATTTCTTACAATGACTTCTATTTCAAGGCCATTTCTCTTCTAGGTAAGCTTTTATCTATATTTTTCACTTAGAAGCTCTTTATTCATTTCTTTCAATTGAACAAAATAGACTTAAAATTTCTATGTTTTTGCAAGAAAGTTTTATAAAAATATTTCAATAAAGTAATTTTGGACGGAAAAAAATGTCGACCCTTTGGCTTTTCAATAAAGAAGTGCTTCTTTCTTGAAGTGAATTGTCGTTTAGGGATTTCCTGCTCATGCTTTCCGACTCACCATAACAGGTTTGCCATATGG